GCGTTGATGTTCCTATGTCGGAGTCCGGTTTCCTCAGCGTCGTCTTGTGTAATTTCTTTAAAAATTTTGCAGTTGTTGTTTTTGCACAACTTTGCTGCTTTGTTGATTTTTTTTATCTTTCAACAACTAACTTTTCCTTTCTCTCCTCCTTCCTTCCCACTGCCTTCTACGGCTGTTTGAATTCGGCCTCTTCGATTCTCTTTTGTTTCCGTTCGTTTCGTGAGCGCTCTCTGGCCGTTACTTTCAAACGTTCGGTATTCCTCCTCCCGTTGTGCCATCCGTTTTGAAAAATGGCTCCCCGTGACTCTGGCCGTGCTTCCTTGCACGAACTAATTACTGCGGATCTTCCTGAGCCCGTAGAATCCGTGGAGACATTAAATTTAGAGTACGGTGAATTTGCCTGCCGTCTCTGGGTACAATTAGTTCGTGGTCTTTACCGTCCTGACGGTTGGGCTCCTCGTCGGGTGAGTCCATTTTCCAACTCCCATTTTATCTCCATTCTTTAGTCCTGTTTTATTCATTATTAATTTTCTTATTACAGTTATGTCTTGCCTGTAGTAATTCTTCTGAAGTGAAAAAGTCTAACCACTGGGAGGTCTTGGATGATACTTTTTATGAAGAGGAACTCGTAGTGAATAATTGGGTTCGGGGCATAAATAACGAGTGGTGTACCTGTGGGTACTGCTTTATCCCCTGTTACGTATGTTTTTTTTTTGCCTCTTTTATTATTATAATCGCTATTTTTGTTATTATTATTGTTATTATTATTATTGTTATTTCTTTTTAGCGGGTTCTTGAGCGCGACATGATGGCGCACCAGAACAAGGATGGAGTGATCAGTGCTGATGAGTACTTTGCCATTTTGAATTTGGGTAACAACCCCATAAAAGAGGAGACTGTAGAATCTTCTGAGGATACCGAGGATACCGACTCTGAGGTTTACCCCGTCGGTCCTGCGGACTCCTCTGATTCGGATGATGGTAAGTCTGTTTGTGCTGTTTTGGCTTTTCAGTTGTT